CATGATCATACCAATTGAAGCAGAAAAATATTTGATAAAATTTATCATTCATTCACACAAAAACTCTAGGAAACTAGAAATAGAAGGGAGCTTCCTCAACCTGACGAAGGGCAACTCTTAAAAACTTACAGCTAACATCATACTCACTGGTGGATAACTTAACACTTTCCTCTGTAAAATTGGCAACAATTGAGATTGTTAACTCTTACTACTTCTATTTAACACAATACCAAAAGTTCTAGCCAGTGCAATTAAACAAGAAAAATATTAAAAAGGCATAAAACTTGAAAAAAGAAATAATGAAACTGTATTCAGTTTCCTGTCCCTATTCACACGTGACCTATTTGTCTATTTAGATAATTCCAAGAACCTATAAGACTGGAAGTAATAAAGGAATATGGGTAGAAGTAAATTCTACTCTCCAAATTTCATACTTGGAACACAAATAAATTTTTTTATTAACATATAATGCATTATTTGTTTCAGGGGTACAGGTCTATGATTCATTAGTCTTACACAATTCACAGCGCTCACCATAGCACATACTCTCCCCAGTGGCCATCACCCAGCCACCCCATCCTTCCCAATCCCCTCTGCTCCAGCATGAATGGATAAAGAAGATGTGATACACACACACACACACACACACACACACACACACACACACACACACAATGGAATATTATGCAGCCATCCAAAAACGAAATATTGCCATTTGCAAAGACATGGATGGAACTTCCTAGAAGTAATAAAAAAGAGTATTATGCTAAGTGACATAAGTCAGTCAAAGAAAGACAAGTATCATATGATCTCACTGATAGGAGGAATTTGAGAAACAAGTAAATTTTTAAAGATTTATTTGTTTGAGAGAGGAAGAATGGGGGTAGGTGCAGAGGGAAAGAGAGAGAGGAGCAGGCTCCCCACTGAGTGCAGAGCCTGATGCTGGGCTCGATCTCACCACCCTGAGATCATGACCTTAGCTGAAGTCAAGAGGCCGACACTTAACCAACTGAGCCACCCAGGCGCCCCACAGCTCACTAAAAAAAAAAAAAAGAAGGGGTCATGGGGGGTCCAAGTGTCTGGTAAACAGATGCTTCACTCAAAAGGATGTATGGATGGTGAATGAGCACATGCAAAGATGTTCCACATCATTGGTCATTAGAGAAATGTAATTTAAACAATGCTGAGATATCTCTACATCCCCTATTAAAAAGCTTTAAAAAAATTATTTTTCTAAACTAACAATACCAAATGCTAGCAAAGTTGCAGAGCAACCGGAACCCATATATTGCTGGTGAGGATGCAAAATGGTTACAGACGCTTTGGAAAATAATTGGCAGTTTCTTATAAAGTTAAACATAGACATATCATACAACCCAATATTTAGCCTAGAGAAATAATAATTTATGTTATCATTTGTTACCCTCAGAGACATCAGGCCAGTCTCATAAAGCTGTACAATCTCTGATTCATTTATAGGACATTCTGAGAAAGACAAAACTATAGTGATGATGAGTTGGGGTGGGGGAGGGCATGGCTCCAACAGGGCAGGAAGACGGGGCTTTGGGGGACAATAGAATTTGGGAGATAGTGGTTATACAAATCTATATACATGTTAAATCTCAGAACTGCCCAGGAGCATGCACGCACACACACGCACACACACACCCAAGTCAGATTTACTGTGTGTTAATTTAATATAAAAATAAAACTATCAGTCCACCAAAGAAAGAAGACAGGAGGCCATATCAAACAACGCACCTCAGCTCTAATTTTGAAATGAATCTTATGTAAAGAACTGTTTTTTTTTTTAATTTCTAGAGAAAGGGTGCTCAGGCGATTGTGTGTGGGTTGTGGATATATGTGTGGTGAATTATACAGGCTGAACACAGTAAGATCCTTTACCACAGTTTTTCCTGAGGCTAGGCAGTTCGGCATTAGAAGCAAAAGAGTAGGAAATTGAGGGCTTCTATGATCAGGAGTATCGTGGAAACTCTAGGTCATGTGACTGATTTGACAGTTACTGTGCATCTCTTAAGTTCAAGGCCGTCTTGCGGCCGGGGGGGGGCACACAAATCCCAAGAGCCCCAGCCTCTGGGGACTTATAAGCTGGTTGAGAAGTAGGACAAAGAAGACTCCTAGGGTTGAGCCCTGAGGACATTGTGTAGAGCCCCCTAATACACCACACACTGAGGGCTTCACCACCTGTTGCTGGCAGAATAACAGGTCACCACAAATCAGTGTCCTGTAAAAGATTTGGAGACATTTTATCAGGGATAATCATCGATAATACAATTTCCCCTACTATGCTCAACCCAGCAAATTCTGTGTGTTTCTTAAACAAACCTCGGGAGATTTTTTTTTTTTTTTATCTCAGTCCCACTTAATGACAGCCCTTATTTCTTAGTCTCTCTCCACAGAGCAGTATTTCATCAAGTTGGCCCCCCCACCAACACCCACCCCGCGGCCAGGGATGCCTTTCCCTGACTTCCTAAATAGCTGCCAGCTTCTACCAGGCATAGCATGGACTGAGTAAAACAGGCCCAGGGACCCAGGCCGAAGAGGATGCATTGTTTGCTTTGTTCTAAGATGAGTCCTTGAAATGGCTTGAGTCCTTCATGCCCCCAGATGGTGTCCACCTCTGCCAAGGTTGGTCAAAGTGACATCTACCATCATAGCAGCACATCACTGCCTTCCTTCCCCTGCACCAAGCGAAAGCTGATCTCCCAGCAAAAGCGTGAAGGAGCTTCTGTTGTCAGAGCTTCATTTCCAAGGTGTCACCCCAAAAGGGAAACAGAGACAACAAGAGAGATAGTAGTCTCCCCCAGCGTGCAGAATGGGAGCCAAGGGGCTGAACAATCTGGTTCCTATTAAAATCTGATCACTAGAAAACTAGTGGCTGCTACAGGCATTCCTATCTGCTAGGTCAGAAAATAAACCTGGCCCCCAAAATACTAGCCAGGCCTATAAGAAATCAGGCAATGGACTGGCTGGAATATTTCATTTCTTCTGTCTCTCACTCTCTTGGTTGGTTGGCTTGATTGCCAGAGAATTAGCTCTGTTTGTAAGAGACTGCACAGACGGTAGGAGGTACTGGTCTTTCTCAGATAAGGAGGATGAAGACCAAGAAATAAAGGCTAGAGCAGATGAGATCAGAGCCTCACCCTTATCCCCTTGTGTGCCATGTGTATAGGCTAGCATGGCCTCATCTGCTAGCACCTTCCAGTCTTCCTGAGAGCATTCCCTGGCCATCTAGAGCAGGCTACTGCCAGGGAATTAACCACATTAAGATAGGGGGTCTCCATGACTCCAGTGGTCACAGAAAGACAGAAAACTGTGAGAAGGGTTATGCAGGCTGGATCGAGGAGCACTGAAGTGGTTTGGGAAACTGCAGGAAGGCTTCAGGCCCCTCCTTGAGAGCTTCCTCGAAGTCCTGTCAGTGTTGATATTGTCACACTGTTAGGAAATCAGGGTGCCTGTTTGCCAGCCAGATGCTTCACTGTTTCTTGCTGTACATGCAAGATCTCAAGTCACCCATCATTCATCTGTTGTACTGGCATAGTTGGCGAGTTCCTGAGATCCAGATAAAAATCACCAATTCCACTAAACACCCCCTCATTGTTAAAATAACAACCCACAGAGGATCATTCACATTAGTCTGCTAACATGTAATCCTGCGGAAAGCAGATTTCTGTGATTCTGGGAAATAAAAAATTATTACCTCAAACATATTGTCTGCAGCAGACAGTATCCTCAGGCCCAGAACGAAGTTCTCACCAAAAATTGCATTTGTCACCCATATTCACTCTTCATGGACACCCTGGACTATGAAAAGAAAAGATCATAAATATTCATCCCCATGAAGAAGGAGTCACATCTGTTTCCAGTGACCGATCAGCATCAAAATCATTTTGCACGAACCTGAATGGATTCACAAGCTTCTCCCCCACAGCCCTGCCCCCACTCCTTGCCATACACTCATACAAGTCCTCCGGAGCAAGAGCTATTTCAAGTTGAGGCCTTCAGGGATAGGAACAATCCTCGGATTCCTCTGTTAATTCCTTGGCCTCCTTGGGCCTCCCAATGCTGACCAAATGCAGATCAGGTGTGTTTGTTCTGGACCCCGTGAGGCCTGGCCAGCCAGCATGGCCAGCATAAAGCTGTGTGCAAAATATGAACTTCTGATATCTTTAAGGAGGGCAAAAAAGAACACATTTAGCCAGATCTCATTTCTTCAGCAGTTAAGGAGTTCGGATTGGCACCAGTTAGGAATGGAATCATCCGGGCCATACTGGAAAGATGCTGTCCTTTTCGCACAGCCTTCTTGCCTCTTGCCGGCCCTCACAAGCCTTCCATTCTCATTCCTGGAGGGACAGCGTCAGAGGATGCCCCTCCCAGTGAGTCTCGTGTACCCCTGGCCTCACCAGCTGGTGACAGCCCAACAGGGCTATGTCTCCTTTTTATTCCCAAATTATATTGGCTGAAGTCTCTACTGGCTTTCCTGCTAAAAATTAGTCCACTCATCTTAAAACAAGTCCCCAGACTGATACTGAAAGGGTCTCCAAGGACAGCCTCTCGAATGCTCTGCAATACATGCCCAGGATCCTTCATCTTCCCTGGCTTCCTCGTCTTTCCACATGCTGCAGGGGCTGCCATATGCTGGGCTCGCTGTCCTCTGATGGTGGCATTGCTGCAGGCCACTGTTCCAGCCCCAGGCACACTGCTTCCCTGGCTACCACATATGACTAGGCCAGGCAGACTTTTATAAGACCTTACCAGAGGCTTGGGCGCTAACAGCTCCTTCTGGAAGTGGGGCTCTTAGAGAGCCATCACCCAGTGGCTCTGGGCCTCCATCAAGCATTCCGAGGAGCAGACTGCTTTGGCCTCCAGGCCCAACTGCCTCTTTATCACTTTCTCTAGGTCATTGTCTGGATTCAGAGTCCTGACAAATAGTTCATGGCACTTTGTTTTCCCCACTTCTGGGCTATTCAGTCTTAAAGGACACAAACAAGAGGCTAGTCCCAGTGGGCTGCACCCAGTGACCAGCTCCTCACCATACCTTTCTCAATGGGGGTGCTATTGGCCTGTTGAGAAGGGCAGGTCTTTACTGCGCAGGACCAGATTCTGCTTACTAAATACCAGTCTGTCTTTCCCCTGTTCTTATGATCACTATTCGGCACCTAAATGAGAGATGCCATTCATTTGCAAGTGAAGTCCCAAGGCATTCTGGAATTACTTCTTCCTCAGAGAACCTCGGTCTTTTTTCTCTTAAAGCTTGGATGAGGCCCATCCACATTATGGAGAGTAGTCGGCTTTACTCAAACTCTGCTGATATAAATGTCAATCACATCTAAAAGCAACATCTACAATGGTGTTTGACCAAACATCTGGACACCATACCTCAGCCAAGTTGACCCATAAAATTAGCCATCACACGGTCTAAGTACAAACAGTACTTTTAAGGCATATGACAATCTACACTGAGATTTAGGGGGGGGGGGGATTTCTCTAGCTGCGCGGACACATAATTCTGCTAAAGAAACACACATCCAGTGAATTTCTGAACATAGAGCACCTAACTCTTACCCTGAAACACCTGCATTTGGGTTATCTCATTTTTTAGAGCTTCCCCGAGGATAGTGGAGCTTAGCCTTATATATAGGGACCTCAAATGGTGCATTAAATGATTAGATTATCTCAAACAGCGCTGTTTGCCTTGAAGATGATATCTAGACTCTCCCGTAGGAGGCAGAAACTACTCCTAATTCTGAAAATTTTAACCTCCCCAAGTTCAAAGAATGTGAAGTTCTGCTGTCCTGGCCCCTCTTAGTCCCCTGGGGCAGCTAATGACCAATACACTCCATGAGCTGAAGAGAAAACAGCTTCTGCTGAAATGAGAGTTCTTAACAATTGTTGGACCCTGGGATATACACTGTCCTGTCCTCTGATTTGTAGAGTGCAGTGTCCATCCATCCCCAGCCATGAGGGATCGGAACATCCCTGTGATAAGAAAAGCCATAATTAAGGAGTAAGCCTTTATATGAAAAACAAGATGGAGTTTGCAAGCAAACTTATGAAAGATCCTACAAATATTTGTATATTCACCAAAACAAAACACTAAAGCCAAGACACTAAAGAACATATAATAGCATGTAATTCATCTTCAACTTGTCATAATGGGTTGTGTATATTTAACTTCCACTTATCATTCCTTAATACGCTGACATTTTTTCAGAATCTCTCTCCCCAGAAGTTTCAACATGAAGCTTGTAAGTTATTTTTATCTTTGCATATTATGGCAATTCCTTCTCCGTGTCTGTTTTTCTCCCGAGTGTTCCCTGCCTGCTTTTATCACTTGGAGCAGTGACTCCCCAGAGACACAGCACCAAAACCTGTGCCATCAATCCTGCTTACACACATTCCAATTCCCCAGTCCCCCCTCCTCACCCATTCCGATGAATGAAGAAGGTAGTTCTCAGGTTCGGTGGACTTCCCCCTTCAACTTCCTTCATCTCTCCCAAAGCTTCACTGCATAAACCTCCCTTCCAGTTTTGCTGTCTGCTTTCCTCCTTTCTCTGGTCCTAACTCCCTCGGTTTCCTTCTTCTCCACTTATCCCCCAAATGTGCAGCTGGGATAGAAATCCCTACAGAAATAGAGCCATGCACACTGGCATTTCATGTAGGCAGAGCTCAAGTTCAAGGGGGGAAACTATATTCTCCCTGAACCATGTCCTTTCTGTAAGGCATCCTCTGCAAAATGGTGGGCGAGTCTCTGCCTCTCTCTTTCTTCCCCTCACCTCTTTGAGAATATTTAGCCATAACAGAAACAAAAAGAGGAAGAGCTCTGGTGCTATTTTCTGGAGGAAAAACAAAAGGATGAAGGTAGGAATCATCCCAGGCTCTGAAACCATGACTATTACCACCAGCATTTCAAGCAAGCTTATTAAAAAGTCGTTTACTTCCAATTACAGAAATCAATCATCTTTGACTATATAAAGGAATATGAAAAACCCGGTTACTAATGAAAGTAATAGTGAATTTGAGAGTGAGTAATGATCAGAAGGCAGAGGTTTAGTATGTGGGGTTCCACATTTGTTAAAAAAAAGTTTTCATGTTTTAATTTATCTAAAAACTAAATATGCTGCCAAATCAAACACCTCAGTGCCTGGGGTTTACTTTATATCCCTAAACGAGCCCTGCTCCCTGCATCCACAGTTAATGAGGGGCTTGTACAAACTAGCCTACCGTGTGAACTGGGGGCACTGGGAAGAAGTAGGATATACCTGCCCCACCCACAGTGGAGTAGAGGAGGCTTGAATGTGCCCAGGTACCTCCTGGGCGTGTCCCCTGGGCTACCTCTGGAGCTTTGGGATAGAAGTCAGAAGCCATGCTACATCGACCCTCCCCTTGCCCCAGATAGCAGCCTTGGCAACCAGAGCCACATCTTCAAATGGAAAGAAGGATCGTGATCTATAGCTACTCCTCCAGGGCAGGTCTTGAAAGCTGGTTAGATCCTTCCCTTGCTGAGATAAGAACTTCCAAGCATCTAAAGTAATATCTTTTGAATGGAAGCCAACACAATCATGAGCCCTCAGCTCCCTGAGATGTTTAGTACTTAACAATTCATGCTCGTTGCTGAGCTGAAAAATTTTCCTTCTTCTTACCTACTTGCACATTTATTTGAGGTTTTAACAAATGCGCTTATTTACTTAATTCTCTGAATATGTTTATGGAATATTATCACATACTGGAATAGTGATATCAATAAGCTCCTTAGCTTAATTAAGTGGATACAATAGCCAAATTGCCTAAGCTTCAGACAGAATGTGCTAATCTCCAATGACTATTATGATTACTTGGGTAACCAGAATAAATATCCCACAGGAAAAGAATCAGGTCTCCCAGACATGGTATAATTTGGTCATTTTTTATAAATGAGAGCATTCTCCCAAAATGTGATCATCATGTACTGTCCTGGTGATAAGAAAGGGGCTGTCTTGAAGCCCAGACTGCTGTCTGGTGTTTTCATCCTGAGCTGAAATCCTCATCAATTATGGGGCACATCCTCCTCTGCAAGATAGGGCCAAGGTGATGGGTGCTCTTGAGAAAATCCCGGTGGGGGAAAATCAAGGCAAGTTACAACGTGTTTTTCTTGAAATTATTGATATTAAGAATAAGCTGCTTTTTTTTTCCCTCTCTCTGTGACTTAATAATGTTACCAAGTGGAAGAAAAGTCTTGAAATCTGGAGAATTGAAATGTCATGTTGGAATGAGAAGGCTTAAAAACATTTGCCCGACATTTAGACCATTCTTGGTCTCCCACTCAGTGTCCTGTCACTGAACCTTTCTCTTTGGGGAATCCATGAAAGGACCCATCCTCCCTCTCCCAGGGAGGGCTGAAGGCTTCTCGGGGGCCTCCCCCAGCCCAAGCTGGTGGAAATCCCTTGGGTTGCTGCCACTATTCTGGGCTTCCTCTGACCCTCCACCTCTCACCCTCTCCTTCCTTGCACATGGTCCTGAGTACTAAAAGAGTCTGACAGTAAGCTGGAACTCCTTATCGCCCCCAGCCCTGGCAATGGGACTTAGACCATGGCCATTTTCAGTCGACACACAGGACGGATGATTGTCACTGTGTGGCCGGTACCCAAGCACAATTGTCAGCATGCTGTAGGAATATCCCATTTCCTCTCAAAGAAGCAAATTGCAGTGGTTTTTAAATTTTAACTTCTTTCTATAAATATACAGAAATAGACTTCTACATAAATCATAAATCATTCATACCATTTTTTTTTCATCTTGCTTGGCTTCTACCTCTCTGACCCAATTCATCCTCCACCCTTAGGTAACTCATCGTAACAGCTTTATGGGGATCCAGTCACGATACTCCATGCTCAGGGGTGCCTGGGTATCTCAATAGGCTAAGTGTCCCATTGAGCACCTGACTCTTGATTTCGGCTCAGGTCATGATCTCAGGATCGTGAGATCAAGCCCCAAGTCAGGCTCCATGCTTAGTGTGGAACCTGCTTAAGATTCACTCTCTCCCTCTGCCTCAACCCCCAACTTGTGCACTCTCTCTTAAAAATTAATTAATGAATTAATTAATTAAAAATAAAATTACCTCCATGTTCATATGGCCATATACATGTGTGTGTGTGCCATGCACACACATAGTTCTATACACACGTATATAAGGCTCTTGTCATTGTTTGATCAAACACAGGATCATTTACGCCCTTTTTTCCCCATTGTCTTCTTTGCTTCCTTTTTCTCCTTTCCTGCTCTACTGAATTATTAAAATTTTGACATAATTTCCCTGCAGTCCTCCCCACTGCCTTTTTTCTGATCCTCTATTGATTTGGTTGTTATAGTATGTATTTATTCTTCTAGAGTAACTATAACAATGTCTGTAGTTATTGCAAATATACCCTCTACCCACCCACCTCCAGGGCTGTAGCTTGAACATCTCCTCACCTTATCTCTATCTTGTTATTATGGCTTCAAGTTTTAGTTTTCATACACACATACATACACACACACACACACACACACACACACACACTCACACACAGAGTTTTTATGGTCAGTAGTTAAGTATTCTTACCTACTCCTTTTTATGCTCATCACTGTTTCTTTTTCCCACATATTTCTCTGTGTTAATTTTTCTTCTTGCTGATCATGATAATAACTTTTTACACTTATATGGTTCTTATATCCCAGGCATTCTTCTAAGCACATTACATAGGTGACCTAATTCAGTCCTCACAGCAGATACTAGTACTAACCCTGTTTCGTAGATGAGAAACTGAGGTGCAGGGCCATTCACTAGCTTGCACAATGGTGCACAGTAGGTAGCCCAGCTGGTCTGCAAATTAGGGCACCTGGCTCCGGAGTCCATATACTGAACATCCGTGTACTGAACATCTCAGTTGACTGCTTTCTGGGGAGTGGTAATCTGTGGGTGGTAAATGCTCTTAGTCCTCTTATGACAGAAAATGTCTTGATTGTGCCCTCATCTATGAATGAA